GTGCCAGCTGGGGGCTGCGGGGAGGGCTCCGTTGGCCTCGCCTGACTCCGGCAGTCCCGCTCCCTCCAGCTCCCTCGGGCCCTTCCACCCTTCCAGAGCTGGATCCCAGTACGGACCGATGGGCAACCGACGTAGCCCAGAAAGGAGAGAGGCAAAAATTATACCTTAAACAAACACTGGTGAGGCCAAGGGTGATTTTCTAGTCTTGAAACCACCCTCAATTTTGACCAAACTCTCAGTTTCATCATTTAGTTCCCTCCTTCCTCCTGTGCCCTCGCCACCTTTTACTCTGTGTGTGAGCTGCTTGTTGTGCATGGACCGTGGCAGCCGTTCCCCCCTCCTCGTTGCCTGTGCCCCACCACCTCTTTGCCTGTGCCCCACCACCTTCCCCGAGGTGAGCCCCACGAGTAGGGGAGCTCCAGGGAAACCTGGGGCTTCGTGCTGCCTCTTGCAATCCAGCACGAGCTGGGTACGTGGAAGATATTAACAAAAAAACACCTTAAAAAGGAAACTAAAGGGTTCTGATGTTGAATTGCTTTTATGAGAATGTTCTCCCAGGTAAGGTGACAGCGTATGGTTCCTTTGCTTAGGTTGTATGTGTGGAGGGACCTGCCAGTGAGTCTCTCGCTGCTGCTCTCCATGTTTTCAGTTGAAGGAGTGATTATTTTTCTTCATTTCTTTTTTTTTTAACCCTTTCCCCCCCACCCCTTAACTGTCAGTTGTACGTAGCAGCCTTGCCAGTCACGCTGCATCCGAGTTGGCTTCCAAAGCAAACCCTGAGCATTTTCAGGGAGTAGTGAACGTGAGGATCAGCTGAAGGAAAGCAGCATGACCCATCTCAGCAGGTGCTGAGGTGCAGGGGGAGAAGGAGGCAGTGCTTGAAACCCAGTTGCCAGTGAAGCATTTCTTGCTGGGGAGCCTCTTCTCCTCTCCCCCCTCCCACAGCTCGGCCGTCTCCTGCCCTGCGGTTCACCAGCAGGCACAAAGAGCCTTTCTTTTCCCAGCCAAAACAAAGTCTGAGGCTTCCTTACGGCGTGAAAAAAGGGTTAAAACCGAATATTTGGGACATCTCCTTGTGCAGATAGACTGTGGGTTTCTCCTAGGGTTTGCAGCTGAGCTCTGGCAGCCTCGTTCCCCTCTTCTTCCTCGAGTCCGCAGGTACCTGCAGCCGTAGAGTTGAGGAGTCTTAGCAGTCGAGAGCAATGGCACTGAGTTTTGGGGTGAAAACACCCAATTTTAGGACAGTGGGGTCACCAGAGCTGTGCAGGAAGCCTCCTTCCAGCCACCAGCCCTAGGAACCCCCCCCTGTGCAGTGTCAAAGTGGCCCCAGCCTCAGCGGGTGCTTCCTGCAGGACCCCCCAACTCTGGTTTTCATGCTTGGTTTGTTTAAGTGAACATTTATTATTCTCAGCTGACAGTTACTTAATGGCAGTTTTTAACAGCTCAACTTATATAACCCTCCTGGTTTTCTTTCTGCTCAGCAAAACAGAATTCTTCCATTTAGAGATGACAGACGAAGTAAATCAATTGAAGAGAGAGAAGAGGAGTATCAGAGAGTGAGGGAGAGAATATTTGCACAAGATGTGAGTAGTTGTTTTCCTTGCCTCTTTAGTGCCATACCTTTGCCAGTGGTCAGTCTTGCCCCCCCTCCGACACCAACACCGCAGCTGGAATTTCCCTGTGGAGCTGGAGGAGACAGGGAAGGGAGCCAAGGAGCTTCAGAGGTGTGCAGGAGGTTGGCTTCTGGAGGAGGACGTGGTGAGAGTTGCAGGGAGGAGAGGAGAGCTCAGGCCCAGCGTGTTGTCTGGGGAGTGCTTGTCTTCCTTGGAATGTTCACGTGGTTGAGGTTTTCTTCTTTTTTTCCCCTTTGTGCCAACCAAAGAGCAGTGATTTAAATGGACACTCTCAATAATTCCACGTGGTTGTGTTATTTCCTATTCGTTTCCAATTTCCCAAGTGTCCTTCTGCAGAGTTTCCTCGTGGTTTTTGTTCCTTTGCACCAGTGCTGTGGCACTAAGGACAAAGAAAAGCCAAGGTTTTAATGTGGGAGTTGCACAGATTTCTTGAAACGACCCATTAAGGACCTGGATTTCTGCCATCAAAAGGACTCAGTCACATTGTTGGTGATTTTATTCTGAGAGGAATAAACTGAAATAAGCATTATATTTCCTGCCTTGACCAAAAAATCAGAGCTTGCACAACAAACTGAGGAGACGTTTGAATAGGAAACATCTGTGAGCAATAGTTCATGTTCCTGAAGAAAGAAGCAAAATCCTAATTTGCTATAAAACTGGAATGATGGGGTCCTAAAAGGAAAGAAAGGGGAAAAAAAAAGTCAGCATTTGATTGTTTTTATCTCAAAACCCAGTGGGAGCTCTGCTGCTTAGAGGACTATGGAAATAAACCCAATTAAAACTATTCCTGAAAATCATATTGGGCAGTGTCCTTTTAAATGAAAAATGTTCCTGTGTTGCAGGACTAGTACTATTAGTTGAGATATCCTTTTATTTTGGTTTAGCTTCAGAGTTGTGCACACCCAAGTTATTTTTCTTTAGCAGAATATGTTGTATAGTTTTGAGGTGTGTGTTGTCTCACCTGGGATGAGTAGTTTTGCTTTTTAATGAGTAGCTTGCCACATCTGAAAGGTTTTAGCCTTGCTTTTTCTTTCTTGACTGGGACCATTCCAGTAAAAGCAGAGGCCCTTTGGTTTGCATCTTGCTTTCAGGATGTGGGCCTAAATACTCTCATAGTATATATGGCAGAGCTACCGAGTTGTTCCAGGGCTGCAAAAACTTCTTTACAACCTGTTTGCTATGTGAGAGTTGCATTTTTCAGGCTTATTACTAAGGAGCTTGTGCAAAACCCAAAAAATCTGGGAGGGTTTTGCGTTCAGACTTCCCCTGTGGAAAGCTGTGGCCAGGACGTTGCCATTTTTCTCACCAGCAGCAGCTAGAAACTGCCGAGCTGGGGAAACAGAGGTGGCTGCAGAGATGGGCTGAACCTCACTCCACCATGTGCTGCTGTTTTTTTTTTCCCCTTCAGATGCTGGAGGTTTAAAGGCAGGCGAGCGGTGAGCGTTTAATGGCCCACGGCAGGAGGTGGTTGAGGTCCAGTTGGGTTGGCATCTCCACGTGGTGAGACCTCGGTGGCAGGCGTTGGAAACGGGTTGGGAGCCAGCCTTTGGAAAGACCAGCCAGGGTTTAGGTATCTCTCCCTCTCTCTCTCATATCCACTCGTTTGCCCTCTCTCTCTCTGCTGTTGCAGGTGTTGGTGAGCATGGTAGGGTGGTGGATTTCAGCAAGCCCTGCTGATAACTTTAGCAGGGTTCTGTCTCTTGGCTGAGCTTTTTTTGTTGAGTGGAGCACTCCTCGTGGATCTAAGATGCTTTTAGGGTGGTGTCGGTGGTCGTGGTGATGGACAAATGTCCTTTTTGGGTTTCAGTTTTAGGGAGGAGAGCAATGGCTTCCTGTTCTAGGTGGCCACTTCCTGCATGTAAGACTTAAAGCCCTTTGCAGTCATTTATTAATCCAGTTCTCCCCAGGTTTCTCTGAGGTAGGTACCCAAACCCTGTCATCCTGCCAGTGACAGACAGAGAGCCAGGGAGGGATTCACTGTGTGGTATTTTTATTATCTCTATTCTGTTTACACTGTTGTAGCCAAGCCTTTATCAGTGCCTTGCTTATGAACCTTAGCAAATGGATTAGAGATCCTTCACTTCTAATGAGGGTATGCATGAAGAGAGCTTGCATGAGAGGTCTCCAAAGGGCAGCCGTGAAGGTCAGGAGTACTGCTGTAACTCGTTGCACCTCACCCCCTCCCCTCTCTAACCATGCTTGAAGTACTCAAAATTCTTTGGATAAACCTACCAGCCCAAGAGCCAGAACTTGGAACAAAATTTAGGAGGAAAAGGCAGTCTGGTTACAGGGGCAAAAACCTTCTGTGCATGTTTCAAGTGCTGTGAACCATCTCCTAACCTGGACCCCACCTCCCAACCAACCTTGCTTGTCCTCCCTTTGATTTTGCAGCCAGATATCTTCATTTCCTAAGTGGGAAGGTTTGAACCAAATAAATATATTCATGAATAATGCCATCATTACCATAGTCCTCATGATGATTATTCTGATATTAGTCAGTTAAAATTACATTTTCTGGCAAGTTTTCCATCTGCCACGTCGGGGCTCATAAATTTTGACGAGGGGAGCTGGAGGTTTTAATGACTTCTGTCACGTGTAGAGTCATAGCAAGTGGCAGAGATTGAGAAGCATGTTAATGTGATGGCTTAATAAAAGGACTGGTGAAGAAATAAATAGTTAATAAACGTGATCCTTCCAGCTCACTGAAGTAGCAGCAACAACAGGCACCTCAAACTTTTCAGGCTGCTGACAGGAAAAAAACCTGCTGCGTGAGCTCTGTTGTGCTCAAAGCTGTTCTCAAGGTTGGTTTTCATTGGCAAAGGCTCCAACCTTCCTTTTAAAGCCTGTTTTTTTATTGGAAATTTCATTTCTTTACAGCAATTTTGAATTTTACAACCAAGTGCACTGGAGCAGAGGACCTGGAGTATCTGGGTCTTGTAAAGAGCTTTCTTGTTGGAGCTGCTTTAGTTGCTTTTAACAGGTTGAAAAGTAATTAAGAAAGACAAAGAATAATCTAAAAGATTTTTTTTAAAAGTCTGTGTTGTTCTTTCCCTGTTCATTCATTGAAATTGTAGATTTAACTGAGAATGGTCCAGTTTGGCTTCCAAGCATGCAGAAAATGGGTTCTAAAGACTAGCACTCCAATGATGTGGGGGAAATGTCATTGTTTGAGGTTAATGCAATCTCTAAAATGATGAGCCAGGATCACATAAGGACCATCCATTGTTTATAGATGTTTTCCTCTAATAATTGTTGTGTATTCACTAAAAAACACAGATATTTTATCACTTCCACAATGCTACAACTGCCCGTGGTATATGTGAAGTTTATTAAAGATACTACATGCTTTCTAATTTTTGTTGTTAATTGTCATGGCTCTTTTTTGACTCTATTCTGAAGAGCCAGATCCTTTAGAAAAATCAAATCATGATTTCTCTACTTCAGAAAACCCTGAGGATCTTTATCACTCTCTGATTAAAGAGTCCCAAAAGAAACACTTGAACATGTAGCTGCAGCCTGGCCTGGCCTTCCCCTAGGAAAAGATGAGGATGAAGAGGGTTTAAAATCAAGAAAAAACAAAACAAAGACACACCATGTGTTGGCTGCCACAAACCTGTAGGCACCAAAACTCCCATGCTGCTGAACAGAGCCTTGGTTTGTGGCTGCAGAACAAGCCCTCCACATTAGCTGGAAGCCTGAGATCTATCATAGCTTGTTAACTGATGTGCAAATGATGACCTGATGGGATCCACTGCAGGATATTGCTGCATGTTAATGGTTATCTGTGGTGGCTAATGTAATTAAAAACAAGCAGGACCCCTCAATATAGACCTAGTGCACTGGCAGAGCTGATGCACGTTTTCCAGTTGAGAATTTAAAAGGTTCTGGGAGGCTGGAGGAGTGAAATAAATGACAATGAGTCATGTGCAGGGCTCCAAGGAGGAGAACCTGTAGATAATCTTGCAGAACTTTCTTCCCTTTGTAGGCTGTTTTTCAATGTCTTTGAGAAATACACAAGAGCCAAGGGTTTTAAGAAGGTTTTTGACAACAGCTATGCTGTGAACTTCTTTCCTGGGGCTTTAAATGAAGCCTTATTGATGCTGCAAATCAGGGAAATGAATGCTGACCTTGGAGTGGCTAAATTGCTATCCAGAGCTTCTTAGCCATCTGATTTTTAATAATAAGAATAACTTAACCCCCAAAAAAGTGCCTGTTTTCTCTGCCTCTCAGCCTCATACCTGTACTGAAAAACAATTTCTAGGGGTGATGTGGCCTCGTGCCAGAATCATCAGCCTGGAAGACAAATTGAGTTGTTATGGGCTCTGTCTTTAAGTCCATAATGCAGTTGATGGTGGTTCCCATCAAGACAGTGAAAAAGGAGCAGACCTCTCCACTTCCTTGATAAAATACAAATCTCAGCTATTTATACTGCTTTATTTGAAAAACAAAAAAATTGAATAAAATTCAAAAATTCCAGACAGATACATGCCACCTTTGCTCTTGTAACTTTGTGGGCACACAGACCAGTACTCTGGTCTAAGTGAAGGGTTTTTTACTCATTTTAGAAGAGCAGGTTTGCTGTGGAACCTCAAAATGAAGACTCAGCCCCACAGTTGGGGCTGTACAAGCCCACAGGGTGGTTTCACTGTGCTCATAAGTAGTTAGACTATACTGAAGACTCCACAGCCCCATTTAATGCAACCTTGTCAGTGAGGTACATGAAATGAGAGAAGAGGTAGCTGCACAAAGGATCCCAGTGATTCTAGGTGGAATGGTTGATGCCTTCTCTCAACTGGTGGAGATGTGGTCCCTGGCAATGGAGAACTTGCTCCTGAATATCCTCAGGCTTTGTGCTAAGGAGAGATGCAGCCCAGAGCCTTAACTTGAGGAGGAGTGCAGGGTGGGAGCTCACCTGGGAAGCCCCCGGAGCTGTCAGATCTTCCCTGAGGTGGATGCTGGGTGGGCAAATGACAGCTTTGATGAGAAACCACCTTGCCTTCTCAGGGCTAAACTCCTTCCATGTGTAAACCCATGGTGAAAACTTTGCCCCTGCATCTGCTGGAGCACTGGGACCGAGCAGGGTGTCACTGGGGTGTTGGCCAAGGCTCTTTGAGTAGGTCATTAGCTCCCCCTCTGCAAAATCATCCCAAATTTGTTGATAGCCATTAAAATGTGACACAGCTAATGATGGGATTGAATTCTTCTCTGAGTCCTGTTGTTACAGAAGGAATGGGCATGATCTCTGGGGCCCTCCTCCTCCCTTTGCTGCCTTCTGTTTAAATTCAAGTCCTGACTCTCCTTTCTTCTCTACCTCATGGAGATCTAATCCAGTGACAGCTACGAGGCACTTTTGGAACATGAAATAGGAGGGAAATGGATAAAAAAAAATCAAAGAGAGAGAATTATTCATGGGAAATTGAGCACAGCTTCATCTCTCTGCATAAAAAATTAAGTAATGCCAAAAGAATGATGCCCTTGCCCATAGGATTTATTTCTTCTGAGCCCTTCACCTCTCTCAGGATCCGAGTCCTCCAGCAGAGAAGCATTTTGCAATAGGCTATTATTATCATTAATATTATTATTAAGACTGTTCTCAGCATTTTTATATCTCAATGTGGGTGTGGCTGTGGCTGTTCCCTCTCCAGCTGCAGAGTATTTCTGAAGCAGTGCAGTATCTTCTCTCTCCCTTTGAAGAACTTTGCCACTTCTGCATGCTTTCCTCCTGTTTGTCCTTCCTACCTGCAGCTCCGTGCTATTCCCCAGTCTCATTTTGAGGTGGTAGAGCAGATTGGTGGAAAAAAAACCAACCCTGATTTTCCTCTTTGGATTGCTGGTATTTTATCACATACCACCTTCTTCTGATCTCAGGGCTGAGAAGTTTCAGTTTGTGCCCAAACTGAGACCCCTCGTTGGCAATGTGTTGTAATGCATGGAATTGATTTTACTGGCCTTGACCTTTTTTTTTCTCCCCCCCTCCCCTTTGTCTCCTGCAAATGCAAATGATGCATGAATTGAAATCCCCTTAAGCCTGAGCAGGGGAGGTGATTCTAAACTCAAGGAAGGAATTGGAACAGCAGAGCATATCTAGAACGTCTGATACAATGCCTTTTTTATTTTTCAGTCAGTTTGCTCCCAGGAAAACCTTTTTGTGGAAAACAGGTAAAAAAAAAAATAGCTTGCTTTTTTTTTTTTGTGTTCAACTTAGCTGTTTCTTTTATTATTTTGCCTCTCTGTAGTTGTTTCTCCTCACGAGCCCATTTGTAACCCCTATTATCTGCAGTGGTTTTGTGCTTTGGAGGGGTGGGGGGGGAAGAGCTTGTCTTGCAGCATTGCTTCTGAGCAGAGAAGATGTTCCAGCTGCTTGCCCCAAGACCTTGAAAAAGCAGATTGTGGGAGGGAGGGAGGGGTGGGAAGCCCACCTGAGGTGTCATTTCAAATGCCCAATCTCTCTCTGGAGTGCCTGGAGAAGGTAACTTTCTTTGCTCTTGAAGCAGCACTCCAGGGGTGGCTGGATGATGGTAATTCTGAAGCTTTCTGGTGTGTATCCTGCTCTTCTGTGAGGCTGAGGAGCAGCACTTGTTGCTCCTGAAGGCTCCCAAGCCCCCAGATCTGCTTGACTGCTGCATTCCAGGAAAGAAATGGTGATATCTGAGCCAGCTGTTACTTTGCATTACTGTGTGATAGTTCTTTTTATCATAAAAAATCTACTTCAAGGGAAGAAGAAACTGTGGAAGATCTACAAAATATGAAGTATTAACTCCATAGCAGCTTAACTGTATTAAAAATCTTAGCAACTTTGCACCTTATGACAGATTAAAGGGTTTTTTAACCCAAACATTGGGGATTTCAGGGGTGAGTGTTTGAGCAGTGCCAGCCCAAGGCTCTCCTGTGCAGGTTTTAAAATGGTTTGCCATCCCCTTGAGGAATCTGTCACAGAATTTCTCTCTCTGTCCATCCTTACATCTGCCAGAGGCATTTATGGGTAAGGCTGCCCCCACAGAAAATTATTCCCCAGTAAGGATACAAACCAACTTTTCTGATGGACAGTCCCCTGAGTGGAATGAGGGAAGGCCCTCAGGAGGTCGTGGCCACCCTTGTGTCACCACCTCATCAGGATGTCTCCTCAGGTGCTGCTCCTGTCTCATGACACAGATTCTGTCTTAGCAGAGGACTTAGCAGTGTTGACTTGATGGTTGGACTTCAAAATCTTAAAGTTCTCTTCCAACCTAAAGGATTCTCTGATTCTATGACTATGGAGATAGGTTTTATCAAAATTGCAACAGAGGAACCTGAAAACCCAAAAGCAGATGCTCCCATAAACCTACTTTGCCCACTCTGGAGAGATTTGGACAACAAAAGTGACCTTTCATCTTCCCAAGTCAGCAGGGAAAGGGCTCAGAGCAGGGTGGGCTGGGGACCTTCATGGGATAATGTTGTTTTGCCATGTGGAAAGTTAGGTCCCAGTTTAAGTGCTTTGCTTTTCCTTTTCCTTTCCATCAGAGAATGTCTCTCTGAGCTGCAAGAGATTCCCCAGCAACTGAGCAAGTGCTTAAAATGATCCGTGCTGTATTTTGCTGGCTTGCATTTTTTTGTGTTATTAGGTGTTTTGATGAGTTTTCTTTTGGGTGTAGCTGAATGATTCCTTGGCTTCTGAGAATTACCTTGAATTCTGAGACTTTCCTCTCAGGAAATGTTCAATGGCCTTCAGCCTCCTTGGCTGGCATTTCTAATCTTCTGTTGAACCTACATTTAGGGGGTAGGGTGGGGGCTCAACGACACAGGTTTGCAGTTTTAGCCTTGATTTTTTTCAAACTCTGAAACCAGCACACGTTGGAAGATGTTGTTAGAAATTCAGGAGAGCTTTAGAGATCAGATCCATTTGAATCACCATGTCCATGTTGCCATAATCTCTCTTTTCATTTCTCAGTAGGCTGTTGGAAGACAGTAGCATATGCAACGATACCCACAAGAAAAGACAGCTCTTTAGGTTTGTATGACTTAATATTCATTTCCCCAAAATTCTCCCTGGGATTCCATCTGTGTCCTCACAGAGGGAGACTTGGATGGGTGGGGGTGCATCCTTTTTGGAAAGGGGCATGGAGGACAGTTCTTATCCCACTTTTTGGATGGGGAGGTCACAATGGGGCCTTTTGCTCTTTGGTTTTACTGCTCGTTGGTTCAGGATCCAGAGGGGGTTTCAAGCTGCCCAGCTTCTCAGACTGCCACAATTTGGGGGTGACTGTGATTGGTAGAAGTTAATTGTCTTCTAGTGTATACAACAGGAATGTTTCACAGACTGGTGCCCAGATTGACTTTTTTCTCCTTGATTTTTCCTTGATTTTTCTTTGATTTATTAAAAGCTGAAATAAAAGAACCATGAGGTGAAATCGATTGCTGCTTTAGATAAGGGAACTTCAATGTTTTGAAACTGTGAACTGTGTCTTCCAAACTCCAGTGCCTTCTGCCCAGAGAATGTTCAGGTGCATCCTGGATCCCAAATCCAGAGGGTCCCTGGGAATCAGTCCATATTTTCATGGAGAACTTTATCAGTTGTCACACTGGATCAGTGGCAGAGCCAGCCTGGTGGTGACATTGTTCCTCTGAGAGGTCCAGTTCAAATCAGAGTTACAGAATCATTTTGGTTGGAAGAGACCTTTAAGATGAGGAAGTCCAGCCATTAACCACTGCCAGGTCCCCACAGCACCACATCTCCACAGCCTGGAAACCCCTCCAGGGATGGGGACTCCACCACTGCCCTGGGCAGGCTCTTCCAGGGCTTGACAACCCTTCTGGGCAAGAGTTTTTCTTTCCTAATATCCAACCTACACCTCCCCTGGTGGAACTTGAGGCCGTGTCCTCTTGTCCTATCACTTCTTCTTTGGGAGAGCAGACTAAACCTCCACTTTGCTCCAACAAATCAACCAGAGCTGAGCATGCCAAGCTGCTTTTAAATCCATCAGCTGCCAGCAACCTTAAGGAGAGCAGGTAGAAGTAAGGCTGCTGGATAGCTAAGCAGCAGTGGGGTCATCACTAGATGTTTGGAGATGTAGCAGTGATGGTTTGTGTCACTTCAAACCGTGGAGGAGATGGTGAGACTGCACCAGCTAAGGAACATCTGGACCTGCATCCCATGGCCACAGGCAGGAAGACTTTTCTCCATGCTTTGGGCTAACCTGGGTGATCTGAGAGCCTCAGATTGGGCACAGAGGAGCAAGGAGGCATCTTACAGATGCTCTTAGTAACTCATTCCTGTTTGGGGGACAAAAAGGGATTTTGTGGAACTCAAAGCCACAAACTTCTTGTTTGTCTCTTTTCCTCAAGGATATACCAAGAGAATTGTTAATTTTTAAGGACAAGAATGCAAAAGAGTCTGAAAATTATGTACTTTGTTTTGTTCCTTTCCAATGAAATCTTAAGGACAATTTCTTTTTAAAATCTCCCCTTTTTTTTTTTATGTTGTTGCTTCTGTGCTGTTTCCCTCCATGCTTTCCCTGTGTCTGGGTCTTTTTTTTTTTCCTTTCCAATGAAATCTTAAGGACAATTTCTTTTTAAATCTTATGTTGTTGCTTCTGTGCTGTTTCTCTCCATGCTTTCCCTGTGTCTGGGTCTAAGAAAAGTCAAGTTAATAATGCTGATCACATCTGTGAGAGGCTCTGAACCCAGGCAAGGAACACTCCAGCCTAATCCTGGCTCTGCCACGCTGCTCCTGCACATCCTGAGTGGCACAGCTCAGCAAGTCCTCCAAATAAAAACCAAAAACCAGGAGCCGTGGTCACAAGGAGAAAGGGAACCCAAAAAAAGAACCCCAAATGAAAAAATAGAGCCCCATCCTTTTGATTTCTAGAAAGAGCTTTGAGCCTGCAAGGTATTAGAAGGCAAGAGGGGTGGAAAATGTCTTCTAGAAGGCTTCCAAAAGCCAGTGGTCTTAGCAGCAGTTGGGATGAGGGTCGTGGTGCCCTGAGCTGTGGTGGCCATGCTGGTTTGCTCATTTTAGCAGCACACTGTAAGCAGTTCACCATAAATAAGCCCCATTCTCCTCCAAATTCTGCTCACAGCTCGCTGTGCTCTTACTCACAGCACACTGGGTGCTCTGCAGCTGTTCAAGGACAGTTTCTACCCAGGGATTTTTTTGCAATTATTGCAAAATTTTGGCACTTTTCAAATTATGGCCATTTTTTGTAAATTGTTGTATGCAGAGGGGAAAAAAAAATATACTTAGAGACCCAAGTGGTGGGTCTGCAAGTGGAGCATTAGCACTGAAGAGTTTGGGGTCACCCAGGAGGACACAGGTTAAGGGGAAAGGCTTTGGATGACTTCACAGAGCAGATGGTAAGAGGGGATGAGGTGGAACAGGAATGAGGAGGATGGATGTGAAGACCAAGGTAGAGGGCAGGTGAAGTTTAGTGAGCCAAACATTCCGGGTGGTGGACAAGCAAAGGGAGAAGTTGAGAAGGGTTTGCTGAGGGAAGAGACCAGTCAAGAGGCAAGAGAAACTCTCCATGAGCCCCATCTGGTGAAGTCCTCTTAGGACATGTGTGAGGAGGGAGCTGTGGTCAGTGCTGAGCATGGAGAAAGCTACAGCAGTGGTGACCTCCTCAAGGCAGACGAGTTTTTGGGTCAACCCCCCTCAATTTCAGGCACGCTTTTGGAAACACAGAGCATCTCCTTGTTCTTTCAGCGTGCCCAAAGAGTCCAAGGTGGTGTTGTCTGTGTGTTAACGTTGGTTTGGTGGTGTCCCCAGGGGGAACAGGGACAGCGTGGGGAAGGCGTCTGGCAGCCGGCAGAGCAGCACGGAGAACGACCTCAAGTGGACAGACCACCAGAGGCCATGGAGCAGCACAGACTCAGACAGCTCCCACAGGAACCTGAAGCCAGCCATCACCAAGACAGCCAGTTTTGGTGGGATAACTGTCCTGACAAGAGGAGATAGCTCATCCAGTAACAGAAGTACCGGCAAACTGTCCAAAACAGGTAGCTAGTACTGATTTGGGGTCACAACCCTTCTGCTTGGCCACTGGGAAATGGCTCTGCTGGCACCTCCCAGAGCTTGACACACCATGGTTTGGGTTGGAAGGGACCTTCTGGTGATCTTCAGAGGTCATCCAGTCCAGCCCCCACAGTTGGGCTAGGTGGTGAATGAGATGAGCAGTTGTATCCAAGAACCTTTTGTTGTCCTTGCTAAGGTGTAGACCATCTGCAGCTTGGAGTGCAGCATCTCCCTGGCTGCTGGCAGATGGGGCAGTGTGCTGTGGTGGGAAGAGAAGTGCTGGATTCACAGAGGTCCCACAAGATCTCCATTTTTTTTTGCTTAGTTTTTATGAAACGAAGGCACCATTTAAGGAGATGCTGAACCTGGTGGGAATTCTGCATTTCTTTGCATTAACTTCATGGGGACATGACCCTAGGAGTCTAGATCTAAGTCATGTCAAGCCCTGCCATTCAACTACTCCATTATTTTTTTGTGTAAAAGTGCCTAATAAATCATGAGCTCATCAGATGATTCCATCAGTTTGGTTCATCTGATGAATATAGTACAGGACAAGTGGTAATCAATACTCAGCACTTAGTGCTCTCTCAGCTTCAGAGTGCTTTATGGACAGTCATTAAACCCAGTTTATCAAATCAGAGCTGGTCAGATTTCACTCCTCTTCCCAAAGCTCTCTGGAAGCCTTTGCTCTGATTCAGGATGCTGGGGGATGGAGTTTTGAGCTTTAGGTTGAGAAAACCTTTAGCTTGGTGACTACATTCTGAACCTGAAGATCTTGAACATGATTTAAAATATTATAAACTCAAAGAAGCATTTTGGTGGGAAAAGAACTTTAAGAGCAAGTGCAACCATTAACTCAACCAAGTTACCACTAACCCATGTCCCTCAGCACCACATCTCCATGGCTTTTAAATCCCTCCATGGATGGAGACTCCACCACTGCCCTGGGCAGCCTGGTCCAGGGCTTCACAGCCCTTTCAGGGAAGACATTGAAGTGCTGGGGTTTAAACTGCTGACCTTGAATGAGGGTTGATGTCCACAACCAGGCAAGAAAGACCTTCCTGATTGGTTTTCACCCAGGGTCTGGCCAGCCTTGGGTGGGAACTGATGAGGAGATGACCACCAGGTGCCCCCACCTTCAGCATTAACATCAGGTGTCCCACCTCCAAGTTAACAGCATAAAAGCTGGCTCTGCCTGAAGAGGTTTTGGGGAGCTTCCCTATGTAGTAGACATATTATGTGGGATCTCCAGTTACTGGAAGGGTCCCCAAACTGCCTCCTGTAGGCAGCAGTGGTGGGACATGAGCACAGCTGGGAGCAGAGGAAGGATGGCATCGTTCTTTGGCCACACAGTTGGAGTTGGACTGATCCCCTGGGTCAGTTCTTCCCTGCCTCCAGTGCTGTAAATGAATTTAGAAGCCTTTGCATTCCACCAGTGGTTGGCCACCTTGGATCCTTGGCATATGATTGAAGACCAGAGGGTCTTCAAATATGGCTGGTGTGGTGCTTTTTGATGATAAAAACCATTCTTATTGGGACAAGTGGTCTGCAAAAGAGACATTTTCCCTACTATCCAACCTAAACCTCCCCTGGTGGAACTTGCGGCCATTTCCTCTTGTCCTATGGCGTGTTCCTCGG